ACTCATTGGTGGAACATGAAGGTGGACCCTGGGACCCAGACCTTGAGCTGTGTAAAGGGCCCCCAAAAAATGGAGCTGCTTCCCATTCTCCCAGAACATTGATTTTTGTGACCACAGTTACAAACCGCCACCAGAGAGCCTGTTCTACACCAGACCAGTGGAGCCAGACTGCAGCTAGAGCACGTCATCATCCTCATCTGGTTGTAAGTAGGCAATCTAGTATATTATTCGTGGCACTAATCTCTAACTTACCTCACATTAAAGAAACACTATAGTCCCCAGAACCACTGCAGCTTAATGTAGTGGTTCTGGTGTCTATAGTCTGTCCCTGCAGGCCTTTTAATGTAAACACTGCGGCACTGCAGCACTGGCAGATAACATGGCAAATCATATGGGTGGGGCATTGTGATGTCACATGGGGGGGCGGCAAACTTTACATTTGCCTAGGGCGGCAAAAATCCTTGCACCGGCCCTGGCTGGAGGGGGCTGTGTGAGCTGTGGCCGCACAGTGCCCCATGGTAGTTAGGGTGCACAGAGGAAAAATGGGGCCGAGCTAAGCAAAATCAGAGGCGGAGCCAAACTGGCGCTGGGGGAGGGGCTTTTGGGGAGGGGGCAAGGGGGTGCCAAGCACAGGACCTGCCCTGGGTGCCAAATGCTCTAGGTACGCCCCTGCATACACAAACACAATCACAGACCCACACACATGCAATCACAGACACACAGTCACCTACACACATAATTACTGGCATACACACATACAAATAGCATTAATACACACACACACATTTATTAATAAAGAAGTTCACCCAGCCTCCCTACCTTGCGTTGGGGGGGGGCTGGAGTTGATCCTTCGCCCTGGTGGCGGCTTTGATGAGATCACTATGCTCTTCCTGGGGGGATATGATAGAAACATTTAAATACATAAAGGGAATCAACACAGTAAAGGAGGAGACTATATTTAAAAGAAGAAAAACTACCACAAGAAGAGGACATAGTCTTAAATTAGAGGGGTAATGGTTTAAAAATAATTTCATAGCTTTACAGAGAGGGTAGTGGATGCATGGACCCCACTGAAGTAATTTTATTACTTTACAGAGAGGGTAGTAGATGCATGGACCCCATTATTGTCATTAAAGGTAAATTTTCAAGCTGGACAAAAGTGACAAGTGGTGTCCCTCAGGGTTCTGCTTTGGGACCGCTTCTATTTAACATATTTATAAATGATCTTGCAATAGGCATTGAAAGACATGCTTTAGTGTTTGCAGATGACACAAAACTTTGTAAAGTAATAAAATGTGAGCAGGATAATGCTTTGCTGCAGAGGGAGTTGGATAGATTGTGGGACTGGACTCTAAAATGGCAGATGAAATTTAATGTAGAGAAATGCAAAGTTATGCACTTCAGGGTCAAGAATGCACAAGCAACTTACACCCTAAATGGTAGTGAATCAGGGATAACCATACACGAGAAGGATTTAGGAATTTTTATAGACAACAAATTAGGCAGCAATATGCAATGTCAATCTGCAGTTGCTAAGGCCAGTAAGGTTTTTTCATGTATAAATAGGGGCATAAATTCTTGGGTTGAAAATATAATTTTGCCTCTTTATAAATCGCTGATAAGACCACACCTTGAATATGCTGTGCAATTTGGGGCACCTGTTCTAAAGAAGGATATCATGGCACTAGAAAAAGTGCAGAGACGAACTACAAAATTGATAAAAGGAATGGAGCACTTTAGTTACAAAGAAAGGTTAAAAATTTAAATCTCTTTAGTTTGGAAAAACGGCGCCTCAGAAGGGATATGATAACATTATACAAATATATTTGGGGCCAGTACAAACCATTATCTGTAAATATATTCATAAACAGGGCTATTCATAGGACACAATGTCATGCATGTAGGCTGGAAGAAAGGAGATTTAGAAGAATTCTCTGCCTGAAGAGGTGGTTTTATCAGAGTGCATACAGATGTTTAAACAGCAATTGGATAAATACTTCAAAAAAAGCATAACATACAGGGATATAATTTTTAATTAGTGGGGTAATAGCTGCTTGATCCAAGGAGATATGTGACTGCCATTTTGGGGTTAAGAAGGATTTTTTTCCTTGTTTGTTGCAAAATTGGAAGGACTTCAGAATAGGTTTTTTTGCCTTCTTTTGGATCAACAGGAAAAACATATGTGAGGAAGGCTGAACTTGATGGACACAAGTCTCCTTTCAGCTATGTAACTATGTAACTATGTAGCATATATGTTAGAATGTTAATGCAGATGTATTTATGTTGGGGAGACTAGAAACAAAATGAAGGAACTCTTTAACAAACATAAATCCACCATCCAAACATGACACAATTCAAACAGAACTTCCCCTCCAATAACATTTAATTTCTTGTGGCAACTCTCCCAATCTCCCAACTCAGGTTCCAGATCATTTAACTATTGCATTTGAAACTTTTAAATTCCTAAAAAATTGTTTTACTAAACACATACTATTTAAAACGTAAACTACTGCTGGTAAAAAACAAACTAAATATAAATTACAGCTACCTTGAAGGCTAGCTGAGTACAGTCACACAGTCAGTGTACCATAGTTATAGCTGTGAGCCCTGGAACAGAGGGAACTTCAGGGCTGGTCCATGGCCGCAACGGCCTGGGGCCTGCAGATACCAGGTGACCTGATGCCTCGCAGTGTTCCTTCTGTCCTGACTGTGCAAGCACTTCCTGTCAGACCTGGTACTGCGAGCAGGTACAGGAGGGGGGAGGGTAGGCACATGGGGCGGGGATAGATGGAATGATACGCATGGAGGGGCTGGGAGGGGAATCATACACATTGAAAGGCTGGTGCGGGTGAGAGGGAATGATACACATGGAGGGCCTTGGAGTGGGAACGATACACATGGAAGGACTGGGGGGAGAGGATGGGGCACATGGAGTTGCTGGGGTGGAGGGAATGAGACACATGGAGGGGCTGGAGGAGGATGAGACACATGGATTGACGGGGCAAATGGGGGGCCTGGTGGCTTCTAGTTATGCCTCTACACACAGTCATCAGCAAAGGTAGAAAAACTAAATTAACAAACATAAAATCAATTCACAAAATAATATTTTGACCAACAACAACAAAAGAACAGTTTACTTTACTGCTGATGCTGATGCTGAAAAAATAAGTTATTAACCCATTCCCGATCAAAGACAGAAATTTTCCGTCAAGCTTGTCCTTGCGTTAAGGACCCTTGACGGAAAATTTCCGTAATTTACTAAAGTTAACCTCTGACAGGCTGTCAGAGCGAGCACATGTGCTGCAGGGACTTCTGATCCGGCTCCCTGCACTTCCGTGTTCAGTGTGAAGTGCAGGGAGACGGATCAGCAGTGATCTTCCCCCTGCAAAAAAATAAATAAAGTTAAAGTTAAATCCCACCCACCATTTCCCCTGTTTTAATAAAAATTTTAAATTATATATTTAGCTACATGAGGTGGGTGGGAGTTAGTGGGGAATTGGGGAATTTGGTGTTAGGCTAGCTAGGGGTAAACGTTAAAAAAAGTTTTTTAAAAAGCTTTAAAAAGTTTCATTTTTTTTAAAGTTTTAATAACATTTAAAAAAAGTTAAAAAAAATCCCACCCCCCTTTATCAAGTCTGAATAAAAATTAACCCCTTCCCTGCCAGTTGATCACTGCCTACAGTGATCAAAATACACACACACACATATATATATACATATATATATATATATATATATATATATATATATATATATATATATATATATATATATACATATACATATACATATATATATATACATATATATTATACTGTAATCTGATTTTTTTTTAGCCCCTGGGGATTAACGTTTATTTATTTTTTAACCCTCGGGGGTTCAATTTATTTCATTAATTAATTAACATATTTTAAAATTATATATTTTGCTAGTTGCGATGGGAGTTATGGGAAATTGGGGAATTTACTGTTAGTTTTGCTTACTGCTAGTTAGGGGTTAACGGTAAAACAAAAAGTTTATAAAAAAATTTTAAAGTGCAAAAAAGTTAAGAAAGTTTAAAAAAGTTAAAAAAATTTAAAAACGAGTTTTAAAAAGTCAAAAATGTAAAAAAAAATACATTAAAAAATGCTTATTACCACTACACTTGGTACAAGCTAGCGGAAAAATTATCCCACGCTAAGGTTCAAAATATGCCTTTTGAAATACCCTGGGATATCTTCTTTAAGAAATGGTATGCCTTTATGGGGTAGTCGGATTATAAAGACTGCTAAAATACTCTAAAATGGGACATGCACACAGCGTAAAAATTAGTTTGAAAAAGTTTGAAAAAAAACTGGAATGGCTGTGTCTCAAATGTGCCCCTTTGACATCTACATATACCTGGCAAAGGTATATACGGGGGTATTGTTGTACTCATATGTACCGACATAGCTGAGCAACATATGAAGTATTATACAGTCGTAGCACACATAAGGTTTGCTAAATATACTGTGCAAACTCCCTTTGTGTGTCAAAAAGGCAAGCTAGCAGAAAAATGATCCCACGCTAAGGTTCAAAATATGCCTTTTGAAACACCCTGGGATGTCTCCTTTAAGAAATGGTATGCCTTTATGGTGTAGTTGGAATATGTAGCCTGCTCAAGTGCTTCAAAGTGGGATACGGACAAATTAAAACCCTCCATGAAAATTCACGTCTTGTCACGTCTCTTTTACAGCACTGCATGGGCGTACCTGGAGCATTTGGCACCAGGGGCGGATCCTATATTTGGCCCCACCCCTATCCCCTTAAAAATGTAAAAAAAATTTTTATGTCTTTAGCACTGAGCAGTGTTTTTATTTTTTGGTATTTAGCACCAAGCACTGTTTGTGCTTGGTGCTAAATACACCAAGCACACACACACAGCACCCTTACACCCTAAATACACAAAGCACACACACACAGCACCCTCAAACCACCCTCATGCAGCACACACACACACACACACACAGCAGTGTATGTATGTGTGTGTGTGTGTGTGTGTGTTTGTATATATATATATATATATATATATATATATATATATATATATATATATACACACACACACACACATACATATACACGCGGCGTGTGTTTGCACACCCTAATGCAATAGGCTGCGCACATCTATGATACATACATACATATATACACACTGGCACACATACACAGACACACAGGTACACACATGCAGTTACATAGAAACAGTCATACACAGACAAACACTGGCAAATACACATAGATGGTGTGGGGGGTGAAGTGAGAGGGAGCTCAGGGAGGGGGGGTGAGGATGAGAGGGAGGGGGTCAGCAGTGAGAGGGGTGATTGTGAGAGGAGGGGGGATGAGAGGGGGGGGTGATGAAGAGAGGGAGGGGGTGATAAAGAGAGGAGGTGATGGGGAGAGGAGGTGGGTGAAGTGAGAGGGAGGGGTCAGTGAGGGGGGGTGATGAGGAGGAGGGTGATGATAGGGGGGGATTGTGAGAGGGGGGGATAGAGGGGGGTGATGGGGAGAAGGAGGTGGGTGGGTGATGGTGTGGGGGCGAAGTGAGAGGGAGGGGGTCATAGTGAGGGGGTGTGATTGTGAGAGGGGGGGTGATCGGGAGGGGGGTTGATTGTGATGAGAAGGGGGGTGATTGTGAGAGGGAGGAGTGGTGATGAGGAGAGGGGGGACTAAAAAATTACCTTAAATCCCTGGTCGTCCAGTGGGGGCTGCCTGGTGATCCGGTGGGCTGCCTGGTGATCCGGTGGGCTCCCTGGTGGTCCGGTGGCCATCATTTCCGGTCTGCAGCTCCACAGAGCTGCAGACCATGGATCTCGCGTGACCCAATCAGAGCATTGCCGTGGTAATCCGCGGCAATGCTCTGATTGGGCAGTGCTCTCGAGACACATGGTCTGCAGCTCTGCTCAGTTCGGAGCTGCAGACCGCAGGTCTCGGCGATGGGCGCAGGAGGGGCATTGCAGTCTGCCCCGGGTACCCCCCTAGTGAGTGGCACCCGGGGCGGACCACCCCCACCACCCACCCTTAGTAGGCCACTGCAACACTGTAACTTTACAAAATAGTGTCTAGGTCATACATTAGGTCATACATAAGTTTGGTCCTTAAGGGGTTAACGGTCACACTGCTATAATACCCTAAGATGAGACATAAGCTCGTCAAATCCATCTAAACTAACTATAGAAACTGAAATAGCCTTGTTTCTTATATGGCATTGTAGCTTCACAGAATAGTGCCAAAGGCATACAATGGGGGTATCGTTATACTCAGCAGATGTAGCTGAACACAATATGGGGTTCTGTGCAGGAATAGCACACACCAGCTTTACAAAATACACATTACAAAAACCTTCTTATATGTGTAAATAGCCAAAATAGATAAAAAACACAATTTACTGCAATATTTAGCAGCGATTGGCGATGAAATGGCTATGTAAAAAGTGTCAAACTAACCTTAGATTAATAGCCTGTGATGTCTACTTTATATAAATATATACTTTTGTGTGGCAATTTTGTTTTCTGTGATGGCTACTAAACCTACAAGACAAACATACCAATTTCTAAAATTGTTGCAAATTGAAATTCTATATTAGCCCTTGTATTTTGTGACTTAACAAAATAAGCTGAAATCCTATACATATTATGTACTCTATAAATCAAGACACATAAATTAATTTATTTTGAATTAATTTTTCTAAGCTGGACATATTATGCACACGCTATTATTGCCTAAACTGTGAAATTTTATTTTTATTGTTTTTCCCGCTATTTTTTGGCATTTTTTTTATGATTAATGAGAATGTATCTATGTATATGTGACATAACATTAAAGCCCTGTTTGCCCTCTAAAAAACAATGTATAATATGTGTTGGTGCAATAAATGAAAGAGATGCAAATTGCGTTTGAACACATACAGCAAAAAAAAATATGCAAAAATGGATTGTGTCCTTAAGGGTAAGACAAGCTTTGAAAGCTGTGTCTTTAAGGGGTTAATGCAGTGGCATAGACACAGTTACTCCACAGTCCTTTGAAACTAAAAGGGGGAAAAATAAAATAAAAAACTAGACTCTGACTAGTGTGTTCTGTGTAACAAAGCACAAAGAAACTGTACCACGACTAAAGCTACATGCAGTAGATCTAAACCAGGGGTAGGCAACCTTCAACACGCCAAATGTTGTGGACTACATCCCACATAATGCTCTTACACCCATCATGCTGGCAAAACATCATGGGAGGTGTAGTCTAAAACATCTGGAGTGCCCAAGGTTGCCAATGCCTGAACTAGACTATCAATATACTGGATTCAATTAACTTAAACATTTTTTAATAAATTAATTAAAATGTACTAAAGTAAATCAACTCTTGTAATGACGGCCTGCAAAGCAAGCGCACACAGTCAGCGAGTGTGAATGACACAATAACAAACGCCAAGTCGGTCAGTCACTGTCTGTGCTAGTAGTTGACTTACTAAGTTTATGTTTGTTTATTCCTGTTGCTTTAATAACTAGTTCCAGCTCCGCACCACTAGTGGCTTCCCTAACCACTAACCTTCGTCATCCTCACCTGCCTGGGCTAATCAAGAAGCTACAAAAGGTTACACACAACTTACCACAGGGCTTTTACAATGAATTTGATGCTCTTCCTGAATGACTTCGGTTCCTGGCTCCTGTAAATGTTCATGTGGACCCACTCTTCGATCCTGCTAACCAGCTTGATACCAACCTGTTCCAAACCAGCCTAACCTACAATTGTACTCTGCATTATCCTACCAACCAGCTTTAGACCGACCTGCACCAAACCAGCCTAACTTACACTTCTGCTCTGCTTAATCCTGCCAAATCATATTTACAACAACCTGTATAACACCAATCTGGACTTTACCTCTAATTTTGCAAGGTCTTATTTCCATACGTTACTAGTCCTTCTTCCAAGAGGGAATTGATTCACTAAAGTCTTCTTTTCCTATTTTCCTGAAACCTTGTTGTTCTGTTCTATTCTTTTATACTTGTTCCTCTATATTCTATCTATACTTTAATCTATAGGTTCCCTTATTATCTACCTACACTCTGTTTATTATTTATAGAGGGCATACTGCCTAAACCTTTGTTTCTCTTATTTTTCTTCTCCCTACTATTTAATTTATAAGAGATCCTGATGTAGTCTATTATGTCTGAACTCCCCAATAAAGCCTCTGTTGTTAACACTGGCCAAAGTGTCTTACCTGACCTGCTCAAGATCATGACACTTACCTACTTGCACAGATTTTGCTGCAAAAAACAAAACAAAACTGTGTTGACTGGAGTCTGGTCTGGTTAATAAATCAAAACTACAACACATTCACCCACACACACACACACACTTAGAGACTGACAGAAAATGCAATTAACTCTATCAGCACTCAGCAGCACTGAAGCAACAGCACCTCTAAGATAAATGCTATTGCTGTTCTTCAACTAACTAAACAAATAAAAAAAATCCCTTCTCATAATATTGTAAAGCGCTACGGAATCTGTTGGCGCTATATAAATGGCAATAATAATAATTTTTCAAAAAATTAGATTTTAATTAAAATTTTAAAGTACTAGAACATAATTCTATACCAGGTTTACAGGCTATCCTTCCTAACCTGCATAACCTAAACAAGCTAGTATAGCCAGAAGCCCTCAGGCCCACTAAGTTAAAAGACTGGACTCTTCATCCTCTAAATAAATTTAACCCCTTAAGGACCAAGCTTCTGGAATAAAAGGGAATCATGACATGTCACACACATCATGTGTCCTTAATGGTTTAAAAAAATTTAAGCCAAACTATTAAAGTTATTTTAGAATTATAGATCTAAAATTAATTCAGAAAGAATAGATTTAGAGCAGCAAAGGCAAATAGCAACGCAGTGAACCACTTGCAGAAAGCAGAATAAGAGAAAAATATTTCTCAGTAGACTCTCTCTAACACAGTTTGTTGTGAGAACGGCAGGCTCAAAAGGCCTCACAGAAAAAATCAATAATGTGTCACCATCAAAACCCAGTGAAAGAATTGTGAAAAAAAAAAAAAACCTCTGGAGTGAGCTGACTGGACATATGCATAAGTGCCGAGCGCGTCATCCGAATTAACTAATGCCGCATGTAAGAATATTGTTTAGCCCACATTCGTTTATTCGGAATTTGTATGAACGAATGAATTAGCCGATTTTCGATCATCAAAAAAACAATGCCCACCTCAACCAGGAAGCAGGTGATATTTTGGCAAAATAGATTAAAAAAAAAACACAATTTACTGCAATATTTAGCAGCGATTGGCGATGAAATGGCTATGTAAAAAGTGTCAAACTGACCTTAGGTAAACAGCCTGTGATGTCTACTTTACCTAAATATATACTTTTGTGTGGCAATTTTGTTTTCTGTGATGGCTACTAAACCTACAAGACAAACATACCAATTTCTAAAATTGTTGCAAATTGAAATTCTATATTAGCCCTTGTATTTTGTGACTTAACAAAATAAGCTGAAATCCTATACATATTATGTACTCTATAAATCAAGACACATAAATTAATTTATTTTGAATTAATTTTTCTAAGCTGGACATATTATGCACACGCTATTATTGCCTAAAATGTGAAATATTATTTTTATTGTTTTTCCCGCCTTTTTTTGGCATTTGTTTTTTATAATTAATGAGAATGTATCTATGTATATGTGACATAACATTAACGCCCTGTTTGCCCTCTAAAAAACAATGTATAATATGTGTTGGTGCAATAAATGAAAGATGCAAATGCAAAAATGGATTGTGTCCTTAAGGGTAAGACAAGCTTTTGAAGCTGTGTCTTTAAGGGGTTATTGCAGTGGCATAGACACAGTTACTCCACAGTCCTTTGAAACTAAAAGGGGGAAAAATAAAATAAAAAAACTAGACTCTGACTAGTGTGTTCTGTGTAACAAAGCACAAAGAAACTACCACGACTAAAGCTACATGCAGAAGATCTAAACCAGGGATAGGCAACCTTTGGCACGCCAAATGTTGTGGAATATATCCCACATAATGCTCTTACACCCATCATGCTGGCAAAACATCATGGGA